CTGTTGGCGAATTTCTCGTGCGACAATCCTGGAGGCGTGATGATTGCGACTTTGACAGCCTCCTCCTCCGGCACGGGAACAGCGAGCTCGTCCTCGTCGTCCTGGGCCTCCGCTTCGAAATCCGAGACCATGAAGTGACCGGAGTGTATGATCTCGCGGGAGTCTCTGCCGTTATCTTCCTTCCTCCCTGTCCCAGGACGATGAAAACTTTGACTCGGTGTCGTTGTCGTCATCATTGTTAACGGCTTTCTGTATATCAGTTCGGCCTGCATCCCTCTTTAGCGCCACTCTGTAGAACATAGACCGTTGATTCATATTTTCCTCTTTTATTTATTTATTTTTGTTTATGGTTATTGCTATTTTAATCTTGTTTCCGATTGATTAGATTAGCTGGATTAATTCTTGATAATCTGTGAATTTATCAATGATACTGAAAAGTATCATAGAGCTTTTTTTAAAATGAATATTGCTATATAGATATGATATAATAGAGTTGCATGTGCCTTGCTGCTAAGAGATAACTCAGAAAAGAAAGTTGAAAATGATAAATTATATTTAAAGATAATTCTTTGTAATTTTGAAAAATTAATCTTTTGAAATTGAATATTATTTTCGAAACAAGAATAGGATGTAATTATTGTGCTATATATGTAATAATATTATATTATCTTATAATTACGAGACATTAATTATATAAAACAATGAAAAATTCTATGATTGTAAATATCTGGAAAACAAGATATTGACAACTGCTTATTAGTAATTATACAGTTTGGTAAGTGATATAGAAATCCAAAGAAGAGATGTAAAACGAGCTCATTAACAAAGAATTTAGTGATATTAATCGACCTCGTTTCGCAAAATCTGCAGAGACTGTTCATTCGATGTCAATAGAATGAATCCTTTGCGCCAGACATAACAAATATTTTTATCGAACAATCGATAAGCTTTTAATTCTTTTCAATATTTGTCTATTTTTCCTTAAAATAGAACATTGTTTTTATGCGATTTTCCTTTTATCTTTTTTATTAAATTTATATCTTGCTCATGCGCCTTTACATTTTCTCAATTTTCAAATTTTTTTTTCATTTTCTTTTTTAAATATAAAATCATTACATTTAACATGATGAAAATGAATATTTCTGGTTGAAATATTTTCTTCGCTGACGCGCAAATTCAGAACATATAAACAACTTTTATACTCGGTTGAACGACCGGAGATCGTTAAAGACATTTCGGTTCGTTCGTTTCCATGAAAACATGATCGCGCGCCAGAATCCTCAATGGTCAGTGACTTCTTCCTCAGAATGCTGTGGATATTTCCTATCTAAAATTAAATACGACACATTTTATAAGAGTTAATTGTTATTCACAAAGAAAGACGAAAACTTTTCCTAGTGACCGCAAGAAAATAATATTTAATAATTATAGGAAGAAAAATTATAACCGATTCTTATACTTTTATATAACATTATTGCAAAAATGATAATTTTTGAATTTTTTATTCTTTACGTATTAATTTTCTTTATAAATAAGAAAGCAACCAATAGAATCAATGAATATTAGAAAGTTCTCGAGGTTAGGTTCCAATGACAGAATTAATTAACATGCTGAGTAGTAGCAGAAAAACTGACATGTTACTTAGTTACACATGTTGCAAAAGAACTGGATAAACTTAATATATATTTTCTTAACGTACAAACTGATCAATTCAAAACATTCGAAAATTATTACTGTGTTAACGGCTGGTATAAATAATCATTCTTTAAAACAATTTGTAAAAGGTTAAATTGTGACGCAGATTCGTTGGTTTTAATATGCAATGCGTGTTAGATACGTCTAATAAAAGTACATGGAAACCTTCACTGAAATACATGTTACGAAAACGTCTAACGGAAATCGAAATCCATTTCTAATAGGCAATGAATAGTCGGAATTCGATATCGTAAATTACAGGTTAATCCACTATAACCGGTTTCGGAGATAAATTTTTTTACCAATCATATATTAACAGTTGATGATATACATCTTTATGTACAATGTGTTGAAATTTAATTGATATTATTCAGCAGAACATATCAGATTTATATAATTATAATTCCACGTGTACAAGATTTACTTACTACTTACTTTTCGGAGAAGAATAAAATATCAGTTAACTGATAAGTTTTAAACTTATTTTAACGATGATAGTAATTCGACTAACATTACTCACAGTATTTTTTGTAATATTACGCAAGTATGTTTATCGAAACAGATTTTCTTTGCAACAATTCTATTTAATAAATGATTTTAATATTTCACGACATTATTATCTTAAAAGTGTTAATGCTCTTTCACCCCGATGTCACTTCGTATCGGTAGGTTAACCGCTTTATCCGTTCATACACGAAGGTTTTTTCCTTTCCTCGTAGTTTTAAAAATCATGTTATATTAATAGAAAATGAAATATTATTTTTACTAGTTTATTTATATAATTATTTCAAGTTTTCTTATTGTGAAAATTTCTACAACTATAAACTCTATCGATAATCTATCTCTATCGATAAATTAGAAGAGTAGAAAATGCACGATCGTATGCGAGGATAACACATTACATTGTGACGTAATCGTAAAATATTATATGTACTTTATCAGATGTGCCATTGCAATTTTATTTGTTTAAACACTTGCCTTTATGCATGAAAAAACAACATTGGTATAACATCTTTTATTTTCTAATCTCTATGCAATTACAAACTGCCAGTCGAAGATAGAAATGAGTTTAGCGTTTTTTTATAAGACGCCAAAACTCTTTTCAAATGGGCACACCTCGATCTCTTATGCAATCATCGGTCGTATTTAGGAACTCGTCACGGCGAAAACAAAAACATTCTGCTTCGCCTACACGTGCGCGTGGCCACGAGAAACGTGTTTTTTAGCTTGGAGAAACATGGCCGTTCTGATTACGCGATAACAACAGCATATTCAAATAGATTGTCAGAATAATATCATCTTCCACGAAAAATGATAAGAAAATTTTTAATCATTGTAAATAATAAATAGACTAAAAACTTACTTGCAAATTTAATAAATTAAATGATAAAATGTAAATCATATGGGACTTTTTGACAATAAAAAAATTATACGTTTAAAGAATAGAAATTTTTAATATTTCGTCTCTCTGTGAAAATATACACAGAACAATATAGTATTTTAAAGTATCACAATAGATTTGGCAATGATACACGCATGGCACCTGTCATAATGTATGGTTAAATCGAACAAGGAAATTATTGCGCGTACATTTTACTTATTTCTTTTCATTCTATTTGTTTAGATTTCTTTAATAGTTGTTTAAAAATCGAAATGTTGTCTTTATCTTATTGCAATAAAAATCGTATCGCGCGTTTCTTATATTTTATAGCAAATAAAATCTTTTTGGGATGAAGTAGACAAAAGTCTATAAAATATAAATTCGTCATTCGTTCATTGGAAAAAATTTATCGATGATTAAGAATATATTTGCAATACTATTTAATCAGCTATGCTCATTTTGGATTATGAACATGAATGCATAACACAGCACTTCTCGCAAGGATCACAGTTTTTATTGTCGATTTTTTTCCTCACTCACCTCTTCTCACTGCGTGTCACCACTCGTCGTTGATACGTACACACCGTTGCAACTTGACGACGAAATTTAACGATCCCCTTGTATTAATTTTTCTTGAATCTCGACGAATATTGTCACACTCACGCTCGCCGTCAGGCTGGGCCGCGCGGCGCCGCGCCCGGACGAGGCCCGTACGCGTTATTACACGGCATACGCTCGCTCATACTGGCAGTGACGCCATTTGCACGAATCCGCGTCCACGACGGACGACTGGCGGCTCTGTGTCACACAGCTGACATGGGCGCGTTTATTTCGACCAATCACAAATAAGCATCAAACGTAGCGCCGCAACTTGATATTTAAATAAATATTTGAATATTTAATTTTGTACTTCCGCTTTTGTTATAAAAATACCGCGGTAATATATCTTAAAATATTTGTAGTTATTATAAATTATTCATTAAAATTCAATAAAAAAATTAATTATTCTAAATCATCAGATATAGATACAATCTTGCGTAGTCATTTCCTTATGTATAGTGAAATCTAATAATTGATATAATTTTTCAAAGATTGTTTTTTAGAAAGTGATATTAAGTTAAAAACTACATTGAACAGAAAATTGAAAATATTTTTATAAATATCATTAACTATAACATTAAATCACAAATCAAAATTCTTTAATATTAATAATAATGGATATAAAACAAAAAAATTGTTTTAAAATATTTATGTATTTTATTCTATTGTATTTACCAAATAATTTATTGAATTATAGTATGTAATAAAATAATTTTTCAAAATTATTTAAATAGCATTTTATAATTTTTATGTATTTAATTGATATGAAATTATTACGAAATATATAACCATAGATAAAATATACAATAGATATAACATCTTATGGAATTTCATTTCATTTCTCTTATTTTGAAATATCGATTTTACAAAAGTTTTTTATGTTCTCTACAATTTATTAAGGTTAATACAGAAGAATTAAATATTTCATTTTCGATTAACAATTAAGTTAAATAAATTATTATTTATAAAATTATGAATACGATAAATATAACTTTTCTTTTATCTATTCCTTCATTAATTCCAAGATTCTTAAAATAATTCTTAAATTATTCAAAATTTAAACTAAAAATTTGTTTGAAGCTTCATAATTTCATGAATGAGGATATTCCATCGATAATGTCTAAATATATTTCGCGATTATTTTAGCCCAAAAAGTGAATTAAATGTTAAATCTATATTATATTTCATCTATGATATAATATGGATAAATTCTTAATATTATGTTTATCATGTATTTGCTTGAAAGGTTTAAAGATTAAAGGTTAAATTTTAATTATAATGTGTACATATGATATATATTCTCTGATATAACATATTATTATTTTAATTTCGTATAGTTGTATCGTCTTAGTTATATTTCATAGAATTGATTATATAAAAATATGACGGAAGAATCCTTAAAAAGTTGGCATCTTATATGGTGGTTATTTAAATTATTTGGATTTCCAATTACTATTCCATGGTTGATATATCATTTCCTTGATATAATGCAACAAAAAAGAAAAAAAAAAACACTCAATGGAAAAGTAAATTATATTATATGATATGAATTCATATCTTATAAATTTAATATTATTATAATAATATTATTTTAATTTAAATTTAGGTTGTAATAATAACTGGAGCCAGTTCTGGATTAGGAGAAGCATTAGCACATGTTTTTTATGCTTGTGGCTGTAAAATTATTTTGATTTCTAGAAGAAAAGAGGAATTGGATAGAGTGAAAAATATTTTAATAAATACTCATGTTGTATGTTTATATTTTTTTTTACAGAAACATTTCTTTAAATTTGTTATTGATCATTTAATTTTATTTTAGACAGTACCAACTTATCCTCCAGTAATTTTACCAATAGATATAACTAATATAAATAGTTTACAAACTGAAATTACAAAAGTAATAGATATTCATGGAAGAATTGATATTTTAATTAATAATGCTGGTATCTCTTATAGAGGTGAAATTATTAATACTAATATGGATGTAGATATAAAAGTAATGCTTACAAATTACTTTGCTCAAATTGCTTTAGCAAAAGGTAATCATTTAATATTAATATATGAAATTTATTTAACTTATATTAAAAAATATATAATCTTATAGTTATTCTTCCATATATGATAAAACAAAAATCAGGTCATATAGTATGTATTAGTAGTATACAAGGCAAGATTTCAATTCCATACAGGTTGGAATATTTTATATTTATATTTATATTTAAAACTTAACTTTTTCTTATTTTATTAAATTTTAATTTGTATAATTTTAACAGATCTGCATATGCAGCTTCTAAATATGCATTACAAGCATGGTGTGATTGCTGTAGAGCAGAATTACATGATCAGAATATAAAAATTACAATTGTTAGTCCTGGTTACATAAAGACTTCTCTTTCTTTGAATGCATTAACAGGAAGTGGACAAATTTATGGAGGTTTGTAATTAAGAAACTTATTAAATCTTATTAGAAGAATTATCAATATACAGTAATAACCAATATTATTATAGTAATGGATAAAACAATACAAGAAGGATATCATCCAGAATATGTAGCAAATCGTATTTTAAAAGCAGTATTAAAAGAAGAAAAAGATATTTTAATAACACCATTCATTCCAAAAGCTGCAATGTTTTTACGCATATTATGTCCATCATTGTATTTTTGGATAATGCAGAAACGAGCTAAAAAGACAAAGGAAAAAGAATAATAATATTTGATATTTGATTATTACAAATAGGGTAAATTGTAATTTAATTATTTATTATTTCTTATTTACACAAAATATTTTGTTTTTATCTTTGTATTTATACTATTTTTTGTTGTTATTTCATTGTAATTAAAACGAAATATGAATTAGAATAAATTCTATTTTATATGAAATGTTATTTATGAAAGGAAAATAATTTTATAAAATCTATAAAATTATATCCAAATTATATTTTATTATGCCACTCAATAGTGGAATATGTTTACATTATATACATTTTAATACTACATAAGTTTTAATGGAATTGAGACAAGCACATTATGTGTTATGTGTCATGTAAAACCTAAAAAGTCAATTATTGAATTTTATAAATATAATAAAAACTTTAAAATAAAGGTATTAGCATAAATTTTGAGTAGAAAAATAAATGCTTGATAAATATAGAGAAATAGAGACTTTTTAAGTTGTAAATGACACAGAATAGTAAATTTATTTAACATACCATCCATCAAATTATTATTCATATAATATTTATTTTATTGCATATCCTTTTGTGTATGTACAACTGTATAATCAGTTGTATTATAACAAATATTTGGCTAATAATTGAGACATTTAGAATATGATATATAATGTACAGTGATTGATAGAAACATTGCTGTCATGGCAGGATTATCAACACTTATTCAAGCTTTCATTTGTCAGTAATATATCTTGTAAATCTTTTAATTTAATTTTTTATATTACTATTATTATAAAGACTAATTGACGTTAATGTAATTAAAAAAAAATATACAAACACACTTTTTTATCTGAGTGTTTTTTGTATAACTGAGTGTTTGTTTATATTATGCATAAAATATATAAACGACATACATATAATTTTACTTGAATAATTGATAAATTTTTTTTTAATTTATTAACGAAAAACATGCAAAAATAATTTTTTAATTCTACATAAAATATTTTTAATTGTTATATATTTTGTGTGCACGCGCGATATTATTTTTACTATATACGAGATCTATAATATATAAACTTAAAAAACAAATATTAGAAAACATGCAAATTGAAATAATTTTAATTCTTTATATTAAAAAAAAAATATACAATACTTATTTTTAAAGTAATAAATTTTCTTATATGTGGTGTAAATAACAACTTGTATGTTATATCTGTTATATAGTTGTAATAATAATTGTAGATGTTACTATATTTTATTTATATGTACAAGTAATTGCAAGAATTTCTTAATATACTATTTTACTTAAAATTTCTTTAAAATTTTCTCACATTATATTATGCAATATTTGTTATTATCATTCATTTAGAGGAATGTTTGTGACGTTTATTTTTTATATCTCATTTGTCTATATATAGCATGATAAGAATTTTATATAATCAACAAAAGTTCTGTGTATTATGCTGATTAAGATTTTTGCCAAATAATAAATTAAAGTGATATACATATTCTTGCAAATATTATTTATAATTATTAGTATGTTTCTTATAATGGGCTACATCACTGGGTGAGAAAATCTAGGCAACATTCTCTTTAATACATCATATGCAGTGTATTCTATCTACTTTATTTACAATCTAAAAATATATAGTTCTCTCTAAATCCAACTTTCCAGGTGTATGGTTGTAATTTTGCATAAATCTAAGAACACTTATGTCAGTATTTGTATCACTTAGGTGATGTGTGAAAATGACCATGTCTTTTTTGCATTAGTATTAACTGTGATATAATTAACAAGATGGAGATCATAGAGTAACAATATGGAGTCATAAGAAACATGTTTTAGATTGAAAATGTTCTTAGAACAAATTTTTTTAAATTTTTTTTTGTATATTTTTCTTTTTATTGTAAAATCAGCATTCACCTGTGAGGTAGTGTCAAAACATAAAAGAAATATAAACATTAAACAAAAATAGGTTTGTGTGACTCAACAATCCCCACTAATATACATAAAATTATAATTTATCGATTTTTATGCTAGGCCTTATTACGATCATTTGAATGTATCGTATGGCCTACCTTACTCTTTTTTTACAACTCAGATTCTTACTTTCTTGACAGAAAAACATTTCACTTAAATGCTTGATAAACTCTCCAGGCACTGATGCTGAGAGCTACCAATGTGATAGTTGTATGCAGAATTCTTCTTCTTGTATCATCTTTCCTTACAAGAAATGTTGGAGATGATGGTCCTAAAACAGCTAACAATTCTACATGTGGTAGCTTGCTTGTGTCAGTCTCTACTTGATATTGGCAACAAGGATCAAATTGCCAAGAAACAGTATAAAGTCCACAAGATATTACTGATATAAAACCTAATGGACCACAAATATAGGGCTGATCACCCCAAATCAAACCTGTAAAATATACATATAATATATTTTAAATAAATAGTGATATTTATATATATGTAAAATAAAATATAAGTTTTAAAAACCTGTAGTTATGGCAGCAAGACCACACAATGTCGCAGTCTTATGAAGACAATTTCCTACTGCTATCCATCTAGAGGTTTCATCACCTAACTTTGATGGTTCAATAACAATTAAACTGCATTCAGATTCTAATGCTCTTTCTAATTCATATTCAAATGTTTCATGTGCATTTTCATTATCGTATACTTCTTTGATGATGGCAACATTAGAGGAATCATCCCTATAAAAAAATATAAAAAATTCATATTTAATTATAAAATAGTATTTTATAAAAATGATAAATTATAATTTTAATATTATATAATATTAATATGTTCCTTTAAAATAATATTATATATCATATATTATTTTAAAGATTTATTAGTTTATTCATTTAAAAATAAACTAATATAACTTATTTAAAAATTTAACATATATACATACGTATATATATATATATACATGTATATATGTTTACATATTATTTATCTAATTAACATTTTTAAACTACATGATCTTTGTCATAAATTAATTCTTTTGTGTGTTATATAAGATGTTGATTAGAGTTAATCAGCATTCTATTTGTTTGAATACAAACATGCTTGTAATAGAAACAACAATTTTATTCTTGTTATTATATGTATAAATAACATTTTATTGAAATGTAATTAAATTTGTGAAATTAATATACATTTTAGCAATTGAAAAATCTTAGTGAAATTGACAGGAGATAAAAAAAATTTATAAAAAAATGAATATAATATTTAAAAATAGTGTATTTTTAATGTGAATTTATTTTCAATTTTGTCTTAAAATGGAAAACGGGTTAGTAAAACATTCATGGACATTTAGCAGAGATTATGAAAGATTAATCTTTAGAATTCCAGGGAATGGATATAAGGTTAATTTTATTTCAAGATATATATTATATCATTATATTACATTAGAATATATATATTAATACTAGTCATCAGTATTAGATTTCGTGTAAAAAGCCGAAAATAATTTAGCCTACGAACCTGTCACCAGCTTCATCTACCATCTTTACAGTCAGTCTTCCAAACACTGGAACGCTGGTCTGGATGAACCGGAAAAGAAATCTTGAATATCGAACCGGATGTAAAAATCAGCTGATTCAATTTAAGCATTCACATGAGTCAAGTCGTAGATTGCATCTTGAATTTATTCAAATGTGTTTTTTCATAATGTAGGAAATATCCCATTATTTGATTACGTTTAAAAAGAAAGAGAAATTAAGATTATATTATCTTCATTTATAATTTTTATATAATACAATCAGAAGAATATTTTTTACTATTGTCATTTTATATTTATATGCAAATTTTGTAATTCATTATATCAGATATATCTTTTTCAAATATTACGTAATTTTAAATTTTAAAGATAAGCAAATATTAATTTTAAATCAATTATAATTTTAATTTTCTGTTTTAAATTGATATGTTCGTTATATTATATTATGCGTTATATTATAATATTGAAAATTATTACTTAATATAAATATATTATCATATCATAAATATGTTTTCATATCATATATAATACTTTAAAATTTTTTGTATTATATTCATATTATATTCATATTATATATTTTCTCTAATATAAAATAATCTTGTATAAAAATAATCTTGTATAAAAAATGAATATTTATTAATTAATCGTATTTAATTCTGGTTTTTATAATTTATTAAAAATATTTATTTACAATTTTATTTTATAATGTTTATTGAAAGATCAAAAATTGAATAAAATTTAAATAAATTGTGAATAAATATTAATTATTTTTTTGGAAGAATAATATGTATATTCGTTGAGCAATCAATTCATTAAGAAAAAATTAGATAATGAAGATATGCAATTATTGTTGCATAATAATAAAAAAAATAGATAAAAGAGAAACGTGAAATTAATTGAAATTCTTACGCCGGCGCTATATTCCAGTAAACGAAGGAACTAGTTTGGCGCTGGCGTAGTATCGTATACAAGAGGCGTGCTACGGTCGATCGAGCGAGAGTGAGCGCTGCCGGTGGCATAGAGGCCGAGTTAAACGGGCCAGATCGCAGATGGACGTCCGCGGGAGCGTTCTGTCATGGAGAGCACAACGCGATGTGTCGTAAGTGTGCTCAAGTATCGTCGTCGTCGTGGTCGTTGCCGAAGTAATCGCGTGTGTAATATTTCAAATCGTATCATAGGATTATCACAGTGACAATCGATATATTTAGGCGTGCGTAAAGATCGTGGTGCTCGTGGTGCTACTATCGGTATATCGTGAACTGTGGCAGCCGAATAATTGTATCGCAACCACGTCTCTATATATCCAAGACGAATCTTCAGCGATTAAAGGAGGTGATTCTTTGTGAATCGAATAATCGCATCTACGTGCGATTAACGTTCGATTCATCGAACAATCGATAAATCGGCAAACGGTGCTGTGACATGTTAACTGAGGTGCATGCCATTGTGTCTAATAATAGATTCGTGATTCGAAGTATCGCGTATAATCCACGTGCTCATTTCGAAGAGCGTACGGTATTCAAACATTGTCAACAAGTTCGAAGAATAGTCACCTGCTACGTAGCATTTGGACAACCGTTTCGTGGAATTGAGTCAATGTCGACAACGGTACGCGTGTTGTTACCGCGTGACATAAAGGCATTGTAAACACACAAGTACGAGACGCACTTCGTTTGTATATATTACGAAATTTAAACGAAGTCGAGCACGTATATTCCTCGTAGAACGTATGTAAACAACAAGCAAAGAAGCGGATCGAAGGTTCTTCCGGTTACAACCAATACAAGTATACCATTTATATACATTGGCGCTGATCTACGCATACTTTGCTTTTCGAGAATAGCGAGCGACGTTTCGATATACAATCGATCTTCGACCGTATCACGAACCTGCTCACACGGTACAAACGAAATCGATTGCGATTGTAACCGGAAACGTATCGTTGTCAATCGATTGCTCGATAAATGTCGATCTTTGTACGAAACAAGAATACGGAATCCTGTTAACTCGATCCGTTAACGTAACGGACACACGAAAGATAATTGCGTAGTGTATTTTTATAAACGAAATCGTGCGTAAATCAAATTATTTGGTGGTGACAAGGAATTGTATCAAAGTTTACGAGGTATATTAATCGATCGCACGGAATCAATGCGTTCTCGCTTCTCGAACAGCGGTGAACGACAGTGACAATAAAAAAGAGAGTGAGAGACGAACGATGCTGCTGTCCGGTCGTCGCGGTTAATTCGCACGTGTCGCGATGTCGGGCGGCACGGCAGGCGTCCGTGGCACCGGCGCCGAGTGCAGGAAGTTCGCGCCGAACATATTCAACAAGAGCAAGTGCAGCAGCTGCTTCAAGCAGAAGGAGGAGCACAGCGCGGAGGCTCTGGAATGCAACAGGGTGAGTTTTGCTTGATGGACTCTCTATCTTTCTCTTTTTCTCTCTTTTTCTCCTTTGCGTATCTTTCTTACTTGCTCGTACGTTCTCTCTCTTTTTCTCCTTCTTTCTTTTTCTTCATCTTTATCTTTCGTTCGTTGCGTATCTATCTTCGTCTCAGTCTTACGCGTGCGTACTCGGTTCATCGCGAGCCGGCATTTTGTCTTTCTTGCTCGCTCTCGAATTTTTTGGTATGATCCGGACCAGGCAGAAGGATGAAAGTCCTGTTCATATTATGTAAGATGAACGTGTACGATGAACGCGATTAGTCCGCGGAACGAACGGTTTTCAGCAGACACCGTACCAACGTCTCTTTTCAGTTTTCGTCGCGTTCATATAGCGGTTCGTTTCTCGTACGAAACTATATACGATTCGTTCGTACGTGATTTTGTAGATGATTATCTTGCGATTAAATTCTATTTGTATTATTATGATCGGCATACGAGAACATGATATTAGATTTATTTTTTTCTAATAAAAATTCATTCTTAATATATAAAAAATTACATATAAGAAAAAGAATGAAACATAAACAGGATTCAAGGTTGATGAAGATAGATGGAAGAAATTACTATTGGTGGAGGCGTTGAGAGTTTTTCAAGGTTAATCTTGATCAATCGGATAAGGCTATTCAAAGCCTTATCTTTTTAAATAGACCGAAGGTCGATAATCATAAAATCATTTTCTTCAATGCTACAGGTCGTTAAACTTTTTTATTTTTTATAAAGGAAGATAAAACATATCTTCAAATCTTTGAGATTTCTCTTATTTTCTATCATCCGAACAGGCCAACTCGTGTTTCGATTGAATCGTAATTTACAAACGAATTCCCGAAAAAGTACGAGACATAAATACGTGACACGCGATACAAGGGACGTTAAAAGAAGAAGAACAAGTATCTTTATAGTATAGTTTTCTTCCTTCTGCCGTGGTTTTTATTTATAACAGGGTCCGGCACGCTCGTCGATGAGCAAAATTGCCTCGTAAATGCGGGGTCCCCAGGGGAATGGGTGGGGGTGGTAGGAAAATAAAAGCGTTAAAAACCAATTTACGCTACGGATCGTACGGTACCGTTGAAATACCAGCGTCGCAACGTTATAACATATATGCGTATGTTAATATCGCGGAACCGTTCTCCGTTTAAAGTCCGTTCGATAAGACAACATTTATTGTCTTTGTCTCGTCTGGTTCTCTCAAGTTTCTTGGATTCATCGACGATTATCCGGTTTTTCTATCCTCGCCTCGTATTTCTCCTTACTTTTTACGCCGGAATCGATTGGAAGAGAGGGAAAAAGAAGACTTTGAATAGATATAGATGCTTTTTGCGGTTACGAGAAAACGTATAGCCGATACGATGAACGACGAGCGGCGTTTCTGGTTTCCACTAATGACACCGGGAAAATTGCACGTCGCGTTTCACGCGGTTGATATTGATTTTACCTTTATATATTTTTATCGGGAAATATTTACCAAGTTTTGCGTTCGTAATTTTATTTCGTTTATCTCGTTGCTTTATAAAACAGTAAAATGTATATATTGATTAGGAACATTGAAGTTTAGAAAACTGAAATATTTTAAACAAGGTGTTTTTCTTATACGTAGATGGGAATAAGAATTTAATCGAATTTGTTTACGGTATTTTCTTAATGGTAAAATTTTTTTCTTAAACTTCAATGTGATCAATCAATTATTTCAAAAAGCATCATAGTAATATAATTTCAATTTATAATGGTTTCTTGTCGTAAAGTTGAATTCTATCAGCCTTTTTACAATTGAACTATTATCAATCGAAGAAATTTGTATCGTAGAAGTTATAAGTTTGATGATAAAAGAAATAAAATCTTACGATGATTTTTATGAATCACGCAAAACAGTTGATTATTTCATTCAATATAAATTTATGATTAATATCTACGATATAAATTTATCACTTATTAATATTATTAGCCACAAGATTATTAGAATTTAATAAGTAGATTTAAGAAATTACAAGCTAATTAAATTTTAATTATTCGTTTCACAAAGATTTATTAAAAAATAGAAGCTTGTAAACTATAACGTGTTGATTCATCTCTTAATATCTCTTATCATCATCGTTCAACGTGTTTCGCGTTACTCTAGTATTTAATCCTATAGTAGCACACTGGAATCATTTATTATTTATTTATCTCGTCGCAAAATTCTTATCGATACAAAATTTATGCAACTTTCTTCTTCGTGTCATTCCAAATTTAAAATGATGGAGAGAATACTACCGTTTGCAAAATTGATGAAATTCGCGCGAGTCCGGCTACGAATTTCTTTCCAACAACTCGATTATATAATCCGCGGGCAAATAAATTTACAATTTTTCGCGAAAGACGCGGCAAATCGAGAAGATCTCGATCTCAAACGTGAAAATGAATCGAAGGAATACTTGTGCAACATCGAATAACACGAATAACACAAAATAGAATGGAAATAAGAGAAGGACGCGCGAATTTGGGGTGTGAGCTTCGGATGAAGCATTTCCTCCTCCTCTTCCTCCCCGTTTTCGGCCAAAAGCCGGGGCAATTTCGTACACACGGTACAATGGGACACGTTGCCGAGGCCGTTGCAAATTTCGGAATGTCGGCAGCCTTGCGACCTGTTCTCGGTGCATTCCAGCCGTCTTCTCGCGGCACCCCAACAGGCGCAGGGCCCCTTTCCAGAGTTGT